AAGCTCATGCGACCCAACTAATTCTTCGCCATAAGACTAAATTTGTTCGGTATTTTCAATAGTGTACAAGATACGAGACAAAACAAGCCACCAACTGTAAGTGATATATCTTGGATCACTTCTGAGCTTGTTTTCAGAAGTCGATAATACGAGTAATCTGAATATCCTACTAAGTTCATGCTGTCATTCCAAATTCTTATGACAGGCAGAGCATGCACCCACATATTCGAAATAATTTGACCCTCTTGGAGAACAAATTTTCCTATTTCTAGCCGGTAAATAATTAGGCGACCTGCAAAAACTTAACCAGTTCTGATTTGCTAGTTATGCAAACCAAGGAAAGCTGAGACAGCTTTGATAATTGCAGCACCACTCCACTCGTTAGGACAAGATGAAAAAGACTTGAGTATTTATTCGACAGCCACCCCATCCGACATTAATTACCAAGATTAGTTCCGCAGTTTTCAAAGGTAGGCCAAAACTTCGCCAAAATAAATATACGCGATACGGATGTGTTGATCGAATGAGGTAAAATCTGTAAAATTATTTAAATCGCCTATGAGCACACGCAAATTGTAATGACTTTACACTTGCATATTGCTTTTGAGATGAAGGACGTCGTCCCTTTGATTTTTCGTTTCGCATTGAACTGTTGCTGGCACTATTGCTGCCACCAGATGCTGAGGAAGTAAGAACAGAACCAAAACTGGGCCGAGAGCCTGCAAGCGAGGTAGGAAGTGTCGTCAGGATGGAAGCAGACGTAACCGGGGCAAAAGCAAGGAAATCTAAATGGTAGCCAGATAGAAAACTCGAAACTTGATCCTGCGCCAAACCAAGACTCGTCCAAGAAAGCCTTGACCGAGCCAGAAGGTTAATCAGAGCGTCGTTACCATCCGTTCGCGCGGCAAGTAGTGACAATGTTTTGGCAGCAAACTTGGCGCCAGATTGACCAGAGTCTAGGGAGAAGAGCTGTCGACACATTTCCGGCTTGAGGGGAAATAAAATGGCGTCAAGAAGGGAAAGATCATCGGAGTTAGCAGAAAGTACGATATCGAGGACCTCTGCAAGATAGTCCCATAAGAACGGCACGTCTGTAGCGATATCGTCAAGTATACAATCCTTTAGGAAATGTTGAAAGCTACAAACATAATTGGCATATGAAAAAATGACACCAATTATATAAAATAAAGCCAAACAATCTTACTACGAAATATAAAATAATTAAATAATAGTGGAAAAAAGTTGCCGACGCAAAACCTGAATCGAGATTCTGCAAACAGAATCTCTGGTAATTACAAATCATTCGACAATTTAAGATAAAAGTAGCAGACTTACCCACACTTAATATCATTTAAAGTGAGCAATTTAGAAGAGAGACACCGGGAAATAGCCTTTCCTACAGAAGAAGGCCTTCTTTGATCCAAATAATTGACCAAAAGGCCATATACTATAATAAAAGCCTTCTTCTCGAAGGCCTTTGAACAGAATTCCTGATCAAATTTGTCATCAGATAGAGACTGCATAATTTCATCAATAAAGCCCGCTTTCTCACGCAAATCTTTTCGGTCAACGTGATATCCACTCTCCAACGAATAACACTCAGTGGAAGATGAAGACACATAAAAGTCATTATCAGTTCCACTCGAAGGAATGTTGCCAGTGGAAAGGATATTAATTGAAGCTGTCTGACGAGGAAAGTTCGCGGAAGAAGCATCTAAAGCAGCAGATTTTGGCACCAATGGCTGATTCCAGGCGTTAGTCTGGGATCTATGAGACTGAAAATTGTCATCGCTCATTGGGGCACAATTAGACGAGCCACGAGATCTAGAGACGAAGAAAGGGATTGGCACTGATGATTGGGAAATAAATACCTACGAATGCATAAACTAGGATGAAATGTAGTCACTGGGTCGAGTGAATTTATCAGTAGAGCTATAAGGAGTGACATGCTAAAGCTAGTAGCGCGATTAAGTGGACACAACATT